TGTAGCATAATGTTAGCATTAGAGTTAGTTTTAAGTGTAATTTTAGATTTTTTATTTTCTTATTATTTTCGAATTGTGATTTGATTTTTCCTTTTCTTCTATGATTCAAAAGATGTATACAAATTGAGATTTTTTCTAATTAACCTATGTAATCGATCCACAAAACCCACCTTTCATTCCATTCGTTTTGAATAAAATTTTCCACAAGTTAATTTTTTTGGTTTTAAAATTTCATTTAGAAATTAAAATCTTAGATTATTCAAATTGTTTTTTTATTCGTACAGTATAACTCTCGGTTTGTTAGGTTTGTTCAAAGTGATAACGTCCTATATTTTGTAAAAACGATTCAAGTTGATCATTTTTGCTTACGAGGTTAACAACATAGTTGCCCACTGGCCAAAACTGAATAAGTTGTTCAGTTTTTCATTACGTGACACACTAGGTGTAAATTTTAAAAATAAAACTTAATTATGTGAAAAAGTTATAACAGAGGGTTAAATGAAATAACCTTTAGGTTAAAATCAATTCGTGATTTGGGGCGATTAAGAGTTGAAGAGTCTGCTGAAATTGGTGTTGAAATTGGGTTCGTGGTTCTTCGCCTTACCTACTCGTTTTGCTAGTTTCAATTCTTCGTGTTTGATTAGAATTAATTATGGAAGTTGCTTTGACTTTGTAATTTATACAATGTTGATTGTTTGTTATTCTCAGAATAGCATATTAATCTATTTTCTTGCATAATATCATAATCAGAGTGTCATAATTTCACTTTGAGCCAGGAAGAGACATTTACAATTTCAATTAGAGAGAATTACAAAAGGTTTGTTTTAGAGCTTCAAGTTCTTCCCCAATTTTTCCTAATTTGTATAACCTAATAACATAATTGAAGAACATATAAATTTCTTTAAATCAATCAAGAAAAGAAGAGAATAAGGTTAACACATAGTGGTGGTGCTCGACCTGATCAACAGCGACAGCGTAGTCTCTGTTGCGCTTCTGTTTTGATTCGCATGTTGGGTTGAAGGTTGTTGCGGAGGAGATGATGGACAAAATTGGATGGTTGGTGTTCGCATTTTATGGTTCGCGATTTTGATTTCTTGCGATGTTGGGGTTTTCGCAATTTTAGGGTCCGGTTGCAAGTTTGGGTGCAAAGATATTTCAATTGCTGAAGACCGGGTAGGCTTTGCTCCAAGCAGGCGGACGTCACTCGTTCTCACTAAGACTGAGCGGACTTTTCTCCAAGCGGGTGGACGGGCTCCCTAGTTGTCCTTGCACTCGAAGTTGTTCGTTCTCCATCCTTCTTCTCCTTTTAAAGGCACTCCGACGCTCAAGTCAGTAAAATGACCGAGCGGTCAGCACAACAAGTAATGAGTGTGTATTATGCATCGTGGTTAAAGTCATACCTTTGACCTTTATTTATACTAGTTGTGATGGGTTTTTACCTTTCGTCGGCCTAATGACGGCCCAATCACACCTTAACCTTTATTAGGGGCTTAATGAGTCATTATCGTTTATAATTTAAACATGTGGTCGGCCTGGATGGTCAGCCTGGATGGTGGGCCTCGTGGTTGGCCTCAATGATCGCCCTGGACGGTTGGCCTAGTGGTTGGCCTAGATGGTCGGTCTAGTGATTGGCCTAGATGGTCGGCTTGGTGGTGCCTAGGAGACCATACGATACACCAGCCCCTCAAGCCCGAGCATGATGTTGATTATGGGAAGGGGTTCTGCACATGCTACTCCTGATAAAGACGGGTTCTTCGATTATTTTTGTTTTTGTCCTCTCCGTTCGTTGATTACGATGGGTGGTTGGAAAAATGGGTCTTGCCTTTATCAGCTGAGTTGGATACTCTACTGATCCTTCGATTAGTCGTCGACCTACGGTGAGGCCGGCTGAGATTTCCTTTGGTGAAGATCCACAGTCGCCGACCTACGATGAGGCCGGTCGGGATTCCCTTTGGTGAAGATCCGCAGTCGCCAACCTACGGTGAGGCCGACCGGGATTCCCTTTGGTGAAGATTCGTAGTCGCCGACCTACGGTGAGGCCGACCGGGATTTCCTTTGGTGAAGATCCGTAGTCGCCGACCTACGGTGAAGCCGACCAGGATTTCCTTTGGTGAAGATCCGTAGTCGTCGACCCACAGTGAAGCCGGCCGGGATTTCCTTTGATGAAGATCCGCAATCGCCGACCCACAGTGAGGTCGGCCGGGATTTCCTTTGGTGAAGATCCACAGTCGCGTACCTTCAATGAGGCCGGCTGGGATTCCCTTTGGTGAAGATCCGCAGTCGCCAACCTACGGTGAGGCTGGCCAGGATTTCCTTTATGGTGTGGCCGAACGGTTGTGTCTGAACGCTGGAGGCCAAATTTGGCTAAGTACCTGTGAGGCCATGGACGGCCGAGCAATTGAGACCGAAGGATTGAGCAGTTGAGGCCGAAAGGTCGAGTAGTTGAGGCCGGATGGTGAGATGCTGAATGCCAAATTTGGCTAAGTCCGTGAGGCTAGATGGCCGAGCAGTTGAGGCCGGATGGCCGGATGCATGAGGCCAAATTTGGTTAAGTACCTGGCCAAGAGGTGGAGGCCGAATGGTCGAGAGCTTGAGGCTGACTGGTAGAGAGCTTGAGGCTGACTGGTAGAGAGCTTGAGGCCGACTGACCGAGAGCTTGAGGCCTAATGGCCGAGAGGTTGAGGCCGATTGGTGGAGAGCTTGAGGCCGACTGCGGAGAGCTTGAGGCCGACTGCGGAGAGCTTGAGGCCGATTGGCCGAGGCCGAACGGATGAGTATGAACACTCGATGTCCTTTACATCACCACTCACTGGTTCCTTATGGCTACAATGGGTATACCCGTTCGGCCCCACGGTGAGCGCCAAAATGTTCTGGTAGGGTTTGGAGGTCACCTGCTAAAACACTCCCAGTTGTACTTAAGACTGGATAGACGTCGAAGACCGTATGGACGGACTCTGTTCGAAGCGCTTAAGGTTGAAGACCGGGCGGGCTTTGCTCCAAGCAGGCGGACGTCACTCATTCTCGCTAAGACCGGGCAAAATTTTCTCCAAGCGAGTGGACGGGCTCCCTAGTCTTCCTTGCACTCCAAGTCTTTCGTTCTCCCTCCTCCTTCTCCAAGCCGAATGTGGAGATACCTGTTAAAAACACTCCGACGCTCAAGTCAATAAAGTGACCGAGCGGTCAGCACAACAAGTAATGCGTGTGTATTATGCATCGTGGTTAAAGTCATACCTGGGACCTTTATTTATTCTAGTTGTGATGGGCTTTTTCCTTTCGTCAGCCTAATGACGGCCCAATCACACCTTAACCTTTATTAAGGGTTTAATGAGGCATTATCATTTATAATTTAACCATGTGGTCAGCCTGGATGGTTGGCTTGGATGGTCGGCCTGGATGACCGGCCTAGTGGATCGGCCTGAATGGTCGGCCTGAATAGTCGGCCTAGTGGATCAGCTTGGTGGTGCCAGAATATCATACGGTACAAAGTTGTATTTGATATAAATTTCATTTTAAATAATTTTTTCTAATTCTATTTTTTTTAGTGGATATTTTGAGAACTTTTTTTAGATTATGTTTTAAGAAATTAATATCAAACTCTTCACAATTCATTCTTTAAACCTTTAAGAAAATGCTCTTCTTATTATATAATTAGATTATTAGTATGATGTTTTAGAATATGTAAAAAAAATTAAATTTATTTTGTTTTCATATAAGGAAACGCTCTTCTTATTAAATAATTATATTATTAGTATGATGTTTCAGTATGTAAAAAAATGAATTTTTTTTTATTTTCATCTTTATGAACATATAGTTTTCTTTTAATTATTTTTAAAAAATAAATTGATTATTCTATTCTTTGTCCATGTACCTATATTTTTTTAATTTAAAATTAAAAAAAAATTACCATAATTTAATTGAAAATTTAGAGTCGTTATTACGAAAAGAAAACTCTATCAAACCATAATTAAAAACTGATTATAAAAGAACACAGTGAATTTTTTCTTCTATATTTATAAAAAATAATATACATATACTTATGAAATAAAAAATAAAAAATATTAAATTAATATTTCATTATCAAGTAAGATAAGATAAACTTTTTTTTCTTCAAGAATGGAAAAAGAAAACAAGTTTGTGTCTAACATTTTTTTTCCAGAGACAAAAAGAAAATAAGTGAAAGTAAAAGATAAATATAACAAGTGAAAAACTAAAAGATAATAAACAAAGATCTTAATATATATTTTTATTATTTATAATATTTGATTTTATATTTTATTATTTATTAAAATTAAATATTATATTTTATAAAAGAAATAAAAAACTCATAAATTAATTTCCATCACTTCCTAATATATATTACATATAAATTGAAAATCTAAAGAAAAAACTTTAAAAAAATTTAATATACAAATTTAAAAAATTTCGAAAATAATTTAGGCCATGCACCTTGTCTTTAAAAGGTTTGCCAATGTGGATGCACCATAGAATAGAATTATTGGAAATGCAATTGAGTGGGTAAGAAAGAAATGTAACTAAAGATTCTACCCAAAAATTGATATTTACCTATAATATTAATATGTTACTCCTTTTTTATGATTCTAATATCTTATTTCCATTTTTTTTTATTTAAATCTACTTTTGTCACCATAGAGTTTAAAAATGTACTTCTTCTCCCATAACCTAGTCTAAATAAACCAAATAAATCATATTTCCTACAAATATTCTATTTAATACATACAACATTTATACTTTACCAATTATTATTACACATAATAAATATTATAACAAACAAATATACTAATAATCTCATATATATAATAAATTATGTATGACACGTGAATCAATGATACTTAAACATGATTTTGTAGAGGAATTCTTTAGTTTGATCACGGCTCATTTTCGGTAAGAACAAAAATATTACAAAATTAAACAATTTTATTGGAATATATAATATCATAACTACAAGTAAATGTTGAAGCTTAAATTGATGTTGAGTTGGAATCAATATCAGTGCATGGGTGGGGTTAGAAGGGATCTCACCATCAAAGGCAGAGATGAAAAGTCGAGGAAGCTGTGATTCAGCTTGTGTTTGTCTTTGGAGTGTTATCGCTATCTCTCAAATGTGCCTCTGAACGTGACATTACCGTTTGCATGTACCCATTTTTCAAGCACACGCAAGGTTCTCACTTTTCTCTTTCTTATTGCTCTCTTCTCCTAAGCCACAGTTTATCTCAAAAATCGCTTAACTTTGTCAAAGTCGTGCATGCCAACTTCATCAAACTGGGTCTTAACACCTACACCTATTTGGGTAATCGCTGTATCAACCTTTACTCAGAGCTCGGCCACATCAATGATGCATTGAAGGTGTTTGACGATATTTCTCATAAGAACACCACGTCCTGGAACATTTGCTTAAAAGCGTTGCTGAAGAGTGGCCAGCTCGGCAAGGCCTGCCACGTGTTTGGTGCAATGCCTGCTAGAGATGTTGTTAGTTGGAACTCCCTGATTTCGGGTTATGCTTCTTGTGGGTTTTTAAGTCATGCGTGGGAGATTTTCGTTGAAATGCAAGGCACTGGTGTGAAACCAAGTGAGTTCACTTTCTCCATTGTGCTGTCACTCGTGCCAAGCCTCTCTCATGCTAAACAGATTCATTGTAGGATCATCAGAAGTGGAATGGATTTGGATAATGTAGTTCTTGGGAATTCGTTAATAACAATGTATGGAAAGATTGGTCTTGTTGAATATGCTTTTGGTGTGATTATGACTATGAAACACTTTGATGTTATATCTTGGAACTCTTTGATCTGGGCCCGTCTAAGAGCTGGGAACCATGAGCAGGCTTTGGAGCTGTTCTATCAGATGAGAAATGCTGATTTACCCGATCAGTTTACATGTTCAATGTTAATGAGTGCCTATTCTAACTTGCGAGACTTGGACAAGGGTAAGCAGGTTTTGGCCTTTTGTTTCAAGATGGGATTTGTTTATAATAGCATTGTATCCAGTGCTGCTATTGACCTCTTTTCCAAATGCAACAGATTGGAGGATTCTGTTCAGCTCTTTAAGGAACAAGATCAATGGGATTCAGCTCTATGCAATTCCATGATTTCAGGCTATGCTAGACATGATTTAGGGGCAGATGCTTTGCGAATTTTTGTGCTGACCTTGCGGAAGAATATCAGGCCAACAAAATACATGGTTAGCTCTCTTCTAAGTTCTGTTTCGGTTTTGTTACCAGTTGAAGTGGGTAATCTAATCCATTCTTTGGTTCCTAAACTGGGTTTTGAGTCAGATGCAGTTATTGCCAATTCACTTGTTGACATGTATGCCAAATTTGGGTTTATTGACGATGCCTTGAATATCTTCAATGAAATGAAAATTAAAGATTTGGTATCATGGAACACTATACTGATGGGACTGACTTACAATGGGCGAGTGTCTTCTACCATGGACCTCTTTAGGGAATTATTGACTAGAGAAGACATGCTTCCAGATCGAATTACACTAACTGCAGTTCTACTTTCATGCAACTATGGATTATTGGTTGATGAAGGAATTGAAATATTTTCATTAATGGAGATTAAATTTGGAGTAAAACCAGGAGAAGAACATTATGAATGTGTTGTGGCGATGTTGAGTAAAGCTGGCAAGCTCAAAGAAGCCATTGATATCATAGAAACAATGCCATATAGAATTACCTCTGGCATTTGGAGGTCAATTCTTTCTGCATGTGCAGTTTATGGAGACTTGCAAATTATAGAAGGAGTTGCAAAGAAAATAATCGATAGTGAAACACAGACATCCTTACCTTACTTGGTATTGGCTCAAACATATCAAATGAGAGGTAGATGGGAGACCATGGTTCGAATGAGGAAGGCTGTGGAAACTATAGGTACTAAAGAGGTCATCGGACACAGTTGGATTGGAATTAAAAATAACTTATACACTTTTTCATCGAATCAGTTACAACATTATGGTGGCAAGGATCTTTATCTGCTGTTGAATTTACTGGTCTGGGAGATGGAGACTGAAGGCTATTTCTAAAATATTATAGGCCTAAAAATGTAAGAAAAATTGTAGCAGTTGGCAAGGAATATGAATGTTGACTGAAAGTGATAGTGCCAGAGGAGGGGGGAAGGAGGCAGAAAATATGATTTAGCGTTACAGAGTACAAATTAAATCAATTATTTCTATTAGTTTTCATAAAATATTATTTACACGATACTCATTCCTTCGTTGTTAATCGATGTCAGAATTCGTTTAGTTTCACTATAATAAAAGAATGGTTGGAACACTGTAACACTTAGTACATTCTCTAATGTAAATGGAATAATGACTTGTTTTGAAATAGATGAACAATAAGTGATAGAATGTGGCATCATTTTTTACACAAATAGATATTGTATTAAGGATCCAATAATAACTAAATCAGTTATACATTAATAAAAAAATTAAAATCATTACAAATAGTTGATTTTTATGTCTCTCCTTCATACATTCACACTCTGTAGCTAGCCTTCGCCCATCACTGGTTTTGGCTCATTGTTTCGTAACAGAAATTTATGAACTAATGGATTTTCAAAATGTTATATCGATTTGGTGACTATGTTGTTTACCCCAGGCATATGTTTAATGTTTAAGTGATTGGAAACTCTCGGTAGCCATATTTCTCATAACATAACTAAGGATTTGCTTTAACAAATTTAGCGCTTTAAAATAAAAGTAAGGGGAAAAATTAATATTTTCCATATAAGATTAATTTATGTATTACTTAATTTGTAGAGTACGTTAATTTTTAAAGATGGATTTTAATTAATTCAAAAATTGGTTTAATTCATGAAAAAGTTATATAGTCCTTCTTTCTTATCTTTTATAGAAAAATTGATCTAACTTTATTTATCATGAGAGTTACCTTTCTACTTGGACTATCTTATGTTTTTCCTTTGAGATATAATTCGTTAGCTGAAAATAGAATGAATGTTAAGAGTATACTTCCCACAACCTACTTTTGACAAATCCATCAAATAAACCCATCTGACTTTACTTCCGTTGACTTTTTGATAAACTACAAACAGTCTATCAAGTTTCCCTTGCAACTTAAATATAAATTCAAGAGTAGATTTTACACATCAAAAGATAAACGCGGAACCATAGTCGCATACTTATTATCATTTCTCATTATAAGGAACAAAAAAGGAAAGCTACTCTTAGGATAGAAAAACTATAAGATTAATGAAAGCACAGATAATGAAGACATGCCACCACTAGTAAAAAATTGGGTTTTTACAGCGCACATTATGCCACGGTTCAACGAAAACCGCAGCATAATGGTGCGCGGTGGCAGTTTTGTAAATAAA